TAACATTCAGAAAAGTAAAATATGTTATCAAGTTAGAAGTTCTACAATAAAATATTGCCGTACATATGAAGTAATTTAGTACATTTTACAGCAATCACACTGACTAGGACATTGAGATGGTGTAAAAACCCAACACGATAGGCTTCGTAGCCAAATTTACCAGTTTTAATGAAGCCGAATATGATAACCACTAATTTCCATAATCAATAACTTCCCAAAAAGTACTAAGTTTACTCAAAACCTAATTAATACAGCGTACATACACTTCAACCACGATAAAACTAAAAGACTCCGTACGCGATTGCGCTTAAGACCGGACATCAATCGAATATGGCAAGATTTACAAATATGTAGTCTCCCTCCCTTACGAAGTAAAAAGGTTATTTTACCCCCTCTAAATCTTATTTCTTCTTACAGTGAAAACTTTCAATGTACAGCGTAAAAAAGCAAAACAAATGAACAAATGTAGTTATAAATTTTTGGTAGAAAGAACAGAATGTTAAAAGGTCAGAAAAACGAACAAATAATATATTAGGTAACGGCTCGATGAGTGTCAGTTTCTCCAAATGTTGGATATTAAGTAGTTTATTCGGTTTTCCTTATTGTAGAAAAAAGGTTGGTAATCTTACCACACCGGGATCCAAAGTTTTTGTTACGATAACATGTTTAGTCCATCTGAGACAGAATGGATGCCAAACATATACGGGTCTTAGTTGCGACCCTTTTTGTCACATTATATTGGTTTAACAATTTACGAAGCTTTATTGGCTTAATTTATTCTCTACCCAATATACTATTGTATGATACTTGCCTGTCCAGATACGTGAAGTTAAGGAGTGAAGCTACAATAATTCGTATACAGTTACAAAAGGCAATTGACCCCACACTTGAAATTTTTAGGCAATGAGATAAATCCTTTCTTTGTACTTGGTATGTACGTAGTTTTTTTATATATTGTAAGGAGGCAAACGAGTAAACGGTCACCCGAAACCGCTGAACAGCGAAGCGACTGCCCATAGACATCCGCAATTGCATATGAGTTGCCTACTTATAATCGACCTTTACAAAATAATCTGTTCAAAATTTCAAACCTGTTCACAGTCCAAACCTCTGGATCCAGTGGTTTGGACTGTGCGTGGTGTTGAAAAGCATCTATTTTATTACGTTTTGAACTTTTTGTGATATTTATTTCATTTTTAGGATTCCGTACCACATAGGAAAAAAAACGGAACCCTTATAAGATCACTTTGTTGTCCGTCTGTCTGTAAAAAAACCCTTTTTCTCAAAAACGCGTGAAGGTATCAAGCTGGAATTTTTTAACTTTCATTCATCATTTACTTAATACCTCATTGATTAGTTACAAATAATACTAAAATCTAAAAACTGTCACGTAAAAAAAGTGAAAAAATTATGAAGATCTTTGGTATTTAAATGTATTCATATCCTATTTATCAAATGCATAAATATTATTCATTTATTTACTAGTTAAAATGTAAGAAATATTTTTTGTAATCAATTTCCCCGCTCGTTTCGTATTCAAAATGGAGCTGAAATTTCCCCATTGTCGTCAGCAGAATATAATATCACGGTTCACAAGGAGAGCGGCAAATGTAATTGTGAAGTTCCACTGCGGACTGTTCTAAGCCGCTTCACAGTAATTCTATTCGAGACCACAATGTGTAGTTTGTTGGGTCGTCATTATACGTTCACGACTAACGCACGCCTTAACAGCTATAATCCTTTGTCAACGGAAATTTTCTTACCATTATAACATTAAATAAAATTACATATGTTATTTACAACAAAGGGGATTCTTTGTAACGCCTCAATCTCATCGTGGACACCTACTGCCGTTACAGCTAAATAAAAATGTTATCTTAATTCATTAATTTAGAGTGACAACATGTTCCAGTATTACAACAGTGGAATCCCACGATCAGGAGCTACTAATTAGAATTAATATTTTTTGCCTTTGGCAGTTATATTTGTATAAGTAAGATATATAATACTATCCCTTTTCTTGCCATTAAAAAAAAAAAACAGAACTTAAATACTCAATCTTTTAGATATCAAATATTCAGTTAAGCAACTATCGTGATGGAAGAAATTAGTTCTACTATATTTAAAGATCTAGTTACTACATCTGCAATTTTAGTATCACTAGATCCGTTCGTAACTTATACTCATAAAGTCTGTGTTTACACAAACTAATATAAAAGTTGCTCCAAATAAGACGAAACGAGAAACAAGAACAATTGGGCACAAATGAAACTGGCCTACGTGATCTAATACAACTGCCTTCCGGACCTCATTTGCCCTAATACTCGACAAACTGACTTCTAAAAGACCATTAAATAAATATAAAAGATATAAACAGTAAACAAAGATTTAGACCTATACGAGATATAAATACATACACCTCCTTTCTCCATTGATCTTTATTTTTAAGGCTAGGTGTAAACTAATACCGGTTGTATTATTATAGATAAAATATTTTTTTATTAAATGCATTTTACATGAACGAAGTTTCGAATCAATTTTACAAAGCTACTATTCTATAACTTGAAGTAGGTACTTATGACATCCCTTTGAACGTAAAAGGATTGAAAGAAAATTACAAAACCATCAACTCTACCTTTCCAACATGTTTACAAAATGTAATAATAAAAGCACGTTAATCAGTTTTAATCCGTCGCAGCTCGTAGCCGGAGCTATATTCATTATTACACACAACAAAGATAGTGCTGCGTCAACTCTCTTATCGCATACAGTTTGTTTGCGCAGGGGGAATGAATCTCGCGCTATATGCGTTGCGAGCCGTATTCACCAATCCGCCTGGCTTACATTGTCTTGTAAAGTACGCTTACACCAACCTTACGTACTACATTTCCTTCATATCTTACAAAGTAAACCACTAAAATGTAGTACAGATTGCATATTGTTCGATATTAATTGCATTTCTGATATTATTTCTCACTTAGAATTGATTACTTGGGAGGCCTTAGTATACATTTTTAATTAATACTTAATTTAAGGGACTCCCTTAAAGATTAATCTACAACTTTGAATCCTTCTTCTTCAGTACACTATACGTTCTCACAGAGGTGCTCTGAGCCTACTCTAACTTGGGATTATTAGGCTATTGTGAATCACGATGGCGAAGTGCGGACTTTAAATGCGTGCAGTTACTCTTACAGTTTTTATAAATGTTTAATAAACGTTTCTCGCTTTAAAAAATCGCCAAATCTAATTCCCCAGTCTTTAACAATATTTTACATTTTACGATAATACAATTCTGTACATGGGAGATGTTTTTCCTGTGTAATCCAATAAAGGTAAATTGAATCGAAATGAGTTGAATTTCAAATGCGTATGTGTTTTGATCTTATAAATTGGTATTCCAAATGGAAAAAATAATTTTTGTGCTCGATTTTTTTAATAGCCAATAAATAACATATCAAATTGCGTGTTTAAATGACGATTAAATTTTCTTTATATTGCGTTTTATTTATAAGTTATAATGAAAATATGCATATTAATGAAAATATCTAATTAAATTTGTAACTGTACGAGTATCTAATTTTTATGTAAAAAAACAAACTAGAAGCGTATTACAATCTTTACTTTCTATTGCAATTTAAGAGCCCCCGCACACTAGACTTTTAGTCGCCCGATAGTTTGATCGTGCGCTTAATCAGTATGAGCATGTAATCGGTGTAATGTGCGCACCTCCATACATGCTCGTACAGATTAAGCGCACGATCAAACTATCGGGCGACTAAAAGTCTAGTCTGCAAGAGCTCTAAAAAGGCAATTTTCAGCCGTGTTTATTAAATTACTAGTAGTCGTCTCTTGGTCGAACTTCGACCTAATTTTATTATATTTTAAAAAGAGAAACAAAGATTTCGCTTCAACGATTTTATATCTATTAACATCAAACAGTTTGATTTTACTTAGACATACGTGAATCGATAACAATACTAAATGTGAACTGGTCTGCGGTTGCGCCCAAATCAATTAGGGTCTCGTTATATATTCAATAATGTCGGTCGCTATTCTGCCAATACAAACGCCGTCGTCCATCAAGCAAATCATTTAATACATTGTTAATATACCATTGTAAGCCGAAAGCTAAATGGAAATCGAATTTACGCTCATATTCAACTTATAAGTGTGTTTACAGTACAAAAGGATATGCTCAAAAACAAAACACAAATTACAATTGACGCTACTTATATAAAAATTCAATATTTTGATATATAAAGTAAATTTTTTAGGCAAAACAAAACATAGATATTATAAATAGAATTAATTTCCCAAGCGAGCAGCAATTTAGAGTCGGACAGAAATGGGTCGATCGCGGTAATTTACTTTGGGTGACATTTTTGTTGACACAAATATTCCTTTGTTCAAAATAATTTGCATTATAAATGCTGTTGCATTGTTATGAGTTGTATTTGTTAACTTTGTCTACAGAAAAGTAGCCCTAATACTTTATATATCCAATTTAAAGTTAGTGAAAAACATTTTTATGCATACATTTTAAAGGAACGAAGCTGCATTTAAAAATATTGGAGAACAGACTCGAGAATCGAATGAACAAACTAGCAATTAAATACCAATATATATTTCTTTTTTAAATTGGTATAATTATTTATACGTGAAGCAAAAACTTTGTATCCCTTTTTAAGGAAATTTTACGAATGCATGAACGAGAAATTTGACGCAGTGAATTAATGATTTTTTAATTAACACTAGGTTTACGGGCGTTTCTTATATACCTATCTCTACGAGCATCCGTCAAATTGACGGGTGGATGAAAATACGTATTTATTTTTAAAAAATCAATTTATTCAAACTAAATCTGAGTTTAACAATATAAGGCTTCACGTAAAAATAAAATACTAATAAGTCAAATTTTTTTGTTAAGTTATTATGAAAATGATAACAATAATATAAAGGCTACATAATCATATTTATCGAGGACATTTTTTACATACGTATTGAATTTCTTTTGTGCATTTCCCGCATACGATATTTTTACAATACATACAGCAATTACTGCTTCTATTTTTATTACAGTAGCCCACTTGGCAACTTTTTCGCACTCCCGATGTTGAAGGTGGCCGATCTGAAACGTCTGAACTGTGACGAACGTTCTCCTTGTTTTTTCCAGCTAATTCATCGGCTAAAGAAAATATAAACTCCTTTCTGGATATTTTCGATCCGGTACACTCTTTGTACAATATCCACGCGTTTATCGCTGCCAAATCTAAAATATTATAAAAAACCTGGAGAGGCCATCGAAAACACCCTGCTTTCACACTATATTTGCGTGCCATCTGGTCCGCGACATCGACACCAAACTTTGTTTTATTATAAAATGTAATAGTTTCTGGAACACATTTTCTATTGTTTTCTATCTGTATATTTCTATGCTTGGTGCTTAGAAGAAGAACTTTTATTTTCGGTTTACTTTTATATACAGTAAGCGTGCACTTGTCTGATTTATATAAATTTGATGAAAATAACGGCATTTTGTCCTTTGTTTCTTTCGCTGGTTTTGGTAGTTCTCTCTTGTTCGAGCGGATGGTCCCAACCAAAGTTGTCTTTAGTTCAAGCAATTTTTTGGCCAGCGGGATGCTTGTAAAAAAATTGTCGGTCGTGATATTTCTTCCTCGATGTAAATACGGTTCGGCTAATTTCAACGTTACAAACTGGCCCAACGAATTTGAGCATCGAGTGTCATCTTTTCCCAAGTAAGGGAAACCATTCAAAATATATTTTGATTTAACGTCAACCGCTAACCAAAACTTAATGCCAAATTTATACGGCTTATTTGGCATGTATTGTGTAAATCTGCAACGGGCTTTAGTTGGAAACAGTTGTTCATCCACTGTGATATTTTGATGTGGTTTATAACAAGCCTGGCTGTTACTTATAAATCTGTTCCATACTTCAGAAATGAGTGCAAATTTATCGGTTTGTAACCTTTCGGATCGTTCGGTTCTTTTATCAAAGCGTATAAATCTTAGAATTTGCATAAATCTATCTCTGGTCATTGTATCTCGGAAAAAAGAAGGTCCCCATTTTTTGGACCATAGATAAGATACTTTCAATGCTCTTACTTCGTACGCGCCCCGGGCATATAGTATTGCTAGAAAACTACGTAATTCGGAAACTGTAATTCTCCAGTCGTTCTTCAAAACTCGACGTGCCTCGGTTTCGGTGCAGTCTTTTATATGTTTCATAATGTGAGCGTCAATTATCAATTCAAAAGCACTAGTTACACAACCCGACATAATATTTCTTTTTGTGTAACCAGTAGGCCCTACGATATCCTTGAATATAGTATGAACGGACGGCCTACCCCTAGATTTCCCTGCTTTCAGTCTCACCCACCGTGTCCCGTCAACTGCAATTTCAATTTCTTCCATTACATCTCTGGATGTACTTGAAATACTCGTCCTCTCATCCTCGGTGTCAGAACTAGAAATAATCCGCCTCCTTTTCTTGTTACGACGTATATTGAAGAGGTTTTCCTCTTCACTATCCGAAGATCCTTCCATTTCTGCAGTTTCGGTGGATTCAGAATCTTTACTGTAATCATCACTTTCACCTAATTCATATTGATCTTCTTCGTAGGACACCTCAGAACAATCCTCATTGATGTTGGTAATTGTTGTCAATTTCTTATTATATCGCGTGTTTCTACTCATGATTGCTAGAAAAGGGTGATCGGTGAAAGTAAAAAATACCGTGCAAAATTCAATTACCCTATTATAAAAACTTACAATAAGCGGGTGACTACAATAACCAAAACTTTTATTTGCTATTGGAGGTATAATTTTACAAGCGAAGCAAATATATAAGGATTGTTGACGCAATCAGCTAACCCGTCAAATTGACGGGTTCCGTTGAAATAGGTATACAAGGTACAATTTTCAAAATTTATAAAGCTTAGGAAAATAATAATTGTGCGTATAAACTCTTTAAATGAAATTATAAATTTACGATGCAAAATAGTTAAGATTAATGCTATGGTTTTTTGCGTGTTTCATTTCAAAGTTTGAAATCCGTCAAATTGACGGGTCCCGTAAACCTAGTGTTAAAATAATTCGACGATGAATTATAGTCGAATTTCAACAAATGGTATATTCCTGTTGGCTTTCACTATCAAAGTATTCGAATAAAACAAAGCAATAATATGTTGAAACACGCTGTACACGTGAATTTTTATATTTCACTTCAATTAACTTACTTATACTCTACTCTGTACCTTAGAATTAATCTCGTCATTTAAATAGTTTTCGGTACAAGAAGTCAAACTAAGTCGAACTACGAAAACTTTGTTCTTCCAAGAGCCTCGTCTTACCTTCTCGAGACTTCGTACAGAACTCGTTTCTCAAATCTTCCGTGCAAATAATTAAACTTTGTACGTGAAATTACACAGATTGGTTTGAATACTTTCTTCACACTCTATACATCGTTTTATTAAAACTACGAGCAGTACAAGCCCGTCTGTTAGTTATATACAATAAATGCAAGGCTGTGTATAAATCTACTGAAATTTTAATCTTATATAAGATAGTAATGGAAACCTTAGTCGTAAAAAATTGCATTTAAAAGTAAAAGACAAAGAAGATTGACAAGTTCTATCTCAGTTTCTACAAAATATAAGAACGAACTTTTTAATAAACATAGTGAAAACTTGCTTTGTGTGCTCAGCAATCAGAAAAGTCGAGGCCTAGATTTAAAAAAGTGGAGTTGAAATCGATATGTGTGTACAAGACTTAAAAGGAGCAATCACGTTGATGCTTCTCTGTGACAAAATGTCATTAATTTTATCTGTCAACTCTGACAATTTAGCAAGCGACATGTCGTTACGGTAGCCCATCTGATGTGACAATAGCTATTACACTCTATTAGAGTTTTTAAGCAAATATTGTAATAAAAAAGGAAATAAAATTACGCTTTACTCAAAACAAGGCATTGGTTTCGATTTATTATTCTTTAACCTGAAAATAATTTTAAATCTTTTTTTTACTTGTTAAAAGTCGTGCAATGGTTTCAGACTGAGCAATACACATTTCAAAACACGCTTCAAAAAATATACTATTATTAACTAATTAAAAACGGCTAATAATAGCCCACAGAGTGAGGATCACGCGACTGCGAGTACAGCCACAACCCACCCACTCCAAAGAAGGATCCCGACAGGTTTGAAACAAGTTGATGACGTCACTGGACAATCAAACATTAATGCCAGCATTCCTTAATAACTTGATTAAACATCCTTTATGACAACGCCTATTCAAATATAAGAATATATTTGCAATCAGATACGGATACCGTCAATACATCGCGACCTTCAAAAGATAACGTGAAATAATCAAGCACATTTTTATTTCATTCTTTGGCAACAAACGACTAATTCAAAATGAGATACATTAGAGTTGAGTGGAAAATGGAATCATTATTCACTAGTCATTTAAATTAATTGACCTTTTTCGCTCTCACTGCAGACACCTACAGCTTGTTAAAGCTAAAACTAATTAGTGCTAATGAAATGTCTGTTTTCAGTTTAAAAATTCTGTTCAATGATTTGAATTAAAAAAGTAATATTTCCATAGCTTACTTTTATTTTGAAATTCATTTTTAAATGTTTCACTGCATTTTCTTCTTTCCCGGTAATTTTTACTATGGAAAAATTATTATTTTTCGAATATTTTACTGGATTTTCTCTTTTAATTTCCTACAAAGCTTGATGTTAGGCATGATTTTTTTCTATGAAAAATATTATCTTTGATAATTTTGCTTTAAACTGATAACTTTGTAGTTAAAATATCTTTTTGATACCAAATTATAAGATAAATTTGTTTAATATAAATGAGATATCTTTTAAGATCTTTCGTAAATAGATTTAAAACGTTTAATCCGCCAACGGGGGGAAATTAAAAAACTTGCACCGAGTCTTGAACTCTAGTAAAGTTTCTTGCCCACTGACTTAATATTGTTATATGTTTAACAAGCGTAACTTTCCGTGATAAGTTATTAATAATAGGGTCAATCGCACTGAGAAAACTGAAAGAAGAGAGAGCTACATAAATATGTACTTTATTATAAAGTCATCCTTCTACAAAGCAATTTCAGAGTTGTGCAATATATTTTTATCCTTTCAAGTCATTAGTAGAAAGACATAATTCAAAGGTATCTTTCTAAAATTATCTTTAAATTCTGATTAGTGCAAAAGAGCACAGATCAGGGAAAAGTAAAGGCGATCTGTGAAGCGAATCACTGACATATGATGACCATAACAAGCCTGATAAGAGCGCAACGACAGACAAGTAAAAATAAATAATAAACAAAATTACAAACTAGTAAATTTCGCAATATGAAAATAAATTAAATTACAATTATGTAGAATTGTAAAAAAATTAAAGCATTAAGCAAATTCTTTAAAAAAAAACAAAGTTAAAGGGATTACTTTTTACTTTATCTTTGTAATATTGTTAAAAACCGTTTTAATTCAAGTAAGTGGCTGCTTTTATTTCGTTTGAGTCTCTTAACTTTCGGTCACCTTATAGAATTATGATAAAAGGGCTTGAAAGCAATTTCATGTGACTTTTTAGTTTACCCTAAAAAAATATGTTCAATCTATTTAAAACAAAATGGAAAATAAACATTCGCTGCTTTTAGATCCGACCCTTTTCATCACATTAAGTCGCTTTGTAAATGTATAAAGCCTTTTTGCTGTAAAATATTTTGATTCAATGTTAATATTTCTTTTCAATTCACCACTTAAACAATTAATATAAAATCCGAACCAAAACATCATTTTTTTTTGTTAAAAAATATTAGCAGATTTTTTTTTTGTAAATTTACTAATATTTCTTTTACCATTCCAACTAAGCTCTAGGCTTGTGCTAGGATATGGTTTACGACAATAGTCTAATGGCTGGATTCGAACCCCGACCTCGTGATCGGAAATCCGTACCCTTAACCATTAGGCTATTGTCGCTTAAATTAATTATATTATAATAGATTTTAATGTTTTTAATTCATTAGAGTTTAAGAAAATCTCATACTTTGCCATCATTCAAATATAATGAAAAATCATATTATGATGACCTCTGATAGTACGATGATAAGAGAATAAACCCCAAAAAAAATTAATGTCAAAAAGCATACATTTTGAATGCACTTTGGGGAGCAATAAAGTTAATTTACAGTTCCATGTTTTCTATCGCGAACATTGCAACTCTCCAGCGGCCGATGCATTCGGTTTTTGTGTGAAATTAACTTTATTTATAACATAGGTAAGTTAAAATATTACATATTAGGGATATAAATAACAGAGTAATTTTAACTTCGCTTTTGTATAATACAGGATAACAGAATAGTAAAACCTACGTATTATGACTTACGTTTTATTTTACACTTTGTTAAATCAATCAGTTTTTATTAAAATAAAATAATGTTTTTTTACATAACAAAAAATTTAATGGGAATGGGCACTAAAATTAGGCCTTGGGATCACAAACTCATCAATCGAAATGCAGAAATGCTTCCACTTCACGCCTGTATTCTGTGTAGTTGTGGTATAGTAACGGACAAGCTGGCCCATTCATATTTAAAAAGTTTAACAGCTATGTTAAGAAATTATAAAACGATAGATATATGATCTTAGTAATATTATAAATGCGAATGTTAAGATGGAAGGATGCATGGATGTTTGTTGAAGGTATCTCCGGGACGGCTGAACGGATCTCAAAGAAAATTTGGCATACATATATAACATAGCCTGGAAGAAGACATAGGCTACTAAGGTTTTTCTTTAATTCCGCGCGGATAGTCACTGGCGATAGCTTGTATTATACTAAAATAATTGAAGTATCTGTTAAAAAATGTATTCGTAAAACATATACTCTACATCATCTCAAAAAGACAAGAAACGAAGCCAACATCGTATTAGGAACAAAACGTTGAAGCCACGGATTTATAAAAGAAACTACTGTCATGTTTCCGCAATATATTATCTGGAATTCATAACGCTATATTGCTCGGGCGAAGTGGCCACATATGCGTCTAATAATGCTATATTGGGCACGGATATTGTACATCAAATCTGTCCCGAACATAAAAGAGAAGACAACTTTACCGTATAATTTAAACATGACTGTTTTAATATAAATATAGTTTTGTTCCATTCGTATTTAGGAAAGTATCTAAATATTTTACTCGAATTGTTATAGTATTGGAGCTATAATATCAGTAACGTTAAAGGAAACCCTTCGACCTTTTTGGTATTACTACTCAGAGAGATTAAACAGGCGCTAACGTCCTTGTAATTGATTGTTGGGTGATTGTAAGAAGACTTTAAGTACAAGTGATATAATGAGAGTAAAAAATATACTATTAATTAAAATTAATCTAAGGAAAATGAACCTTTATTTTAGACAAAGAACGGTATATCCTATATACATATATTTTAGGCGATTGTTCACATCTAAATCTCTGTTTGGTGTCCAACAAGCAGCCTACTGCAAGTTACGACGCAATAAAATCCACTTGCCCATTATATGAAATGACTTATTTTAAACGGCGTTTTGACTTCGCTAAAGAGGGAGATATCCATCAGTTTAGTCTGTAATGGCCATGACACTTATTACTATAGGATTTAAATTTATTTTAAAACTCTTTTGTAAATCATACTAAAAATATTAGCAACTATAATCAACAATTTAAAAAATATAAAAATCGAATTCCATTTATGTAATTGTAAATATATCAGTTTATTACATGCCAGTATCTA